AAATTTTAAATTTTTAATTAAACTTTTAATCAGAATGGAATGGAAGGGCGTTTAGTACCTGAAGAAGATGGAATATCTAAGCAGGTCACCTCAACCAAACTCCCTCAATTACCCGGTTCACTCATCGAGTGGTCTACGGTGGCGGAGAAATCGACTATCTCGCTGATCTCAGGCACCACATCGCGGTCGCGTGCCAGAATCTCTCGATGGCGCTCGTCCAGAAGGCTGTGGCGGAGTGTCATGATAGTATGTATACTCCTTATCCCTGAGACGGGGTAGGCGTGGCATTCGAACATGGCACAGAACTGGTTACTCGTGGGATATTTCAATTTGAGACAACCGCCATCTTGTTCTTTGTTGGACAGAGACGTGACCACATTTGGGTCAAAATGAAAATATCTCTCCAAAAGCATAGCCACCACGACGTTTAGTTGAAGTACGCAGCCACGCCTACCTCATCTCAGTTCGAGTGTATACAATATGCTGTTGAATATGGTGGTAGAAATGTCCAATCAGAATTCAATAAAGTGTAACTTATATCGCCTTGAAAGTCAAGGAAGAAAAGTCCTTTTTTTGCACCCCCCCCCCTGTAGAGGACGTACGTAAAATTCGGTGTTTCTATTCTCGCAGATGATCTTCAAACCAAACTTTCTGACCAGTGCTACTCGAAAGCTTGCGTTCTGTGGAAAATGCTGAATTGTTCCCTGTTATCTCTTTTTGGAACCTCGGCATCATGTCAAATTGATTTCCCTCTTCTGCCAAATGAGGTTTTTGGATGGAATCTTTGTTTGGCATGACGTTTCGACCCTTTCTCTACTTTGGTGTAACTGAATGGATCATTTCTTTCAGAGACAACCGGAACGTGGCTGGGGGCGGGCGGTTGTTGCCAACGTCATTGGTAGAAGGGCTGATTGGGGCATGGCCAACGCTCTCTCGCGGCCCTTCCGCCGATGACGCTGGCAACAACCACTCGTTTTCAGCACCCGTGCCAACTGCCTTCAAGGGCACAGTTCACGATTTGCTGAGAGGTACATTCCACTATTTCACTTGTGTTTGATGGGCAAGTCACAACCGTGGAAGTCATGATGCCCTTGTCACTGAAAACGGCGTGGCAAGGGAACCAGTGGCTTGTGTTCCAAGGACTGCCCAAGCCCCTGAACATGGGTACCACAGTGAGTTATCTCATCTTTCAAACAAGGACCTTTGATACCCACATACATCCAGTTCCTTGGCAGTTGGAAAATAATGATGTTTACGGACGTAACGACAAAGTACGCGCATACATGAAAATGGAAATATGATCGAAAGCCGTCAATGCTCTATCACTAAGGTTGATATTATGGATGTAGATTTCGCCCATGCAAGAGTCGCGGAATCGTGAGTTTTTTTTTTTGATTTTTCATAGAGCGCGTAAAGACCGAAGTCCGCGACGGCGCGCCGCACGAGAGCAATAGATTTCGCGACTTGAGAGGCTTTACGACTCGTAATTGGGCGCAGATCGGAGAAGCTTTGTGGTGATGTGTGTGCTTTGGGGCGTATGGGTCAACGTGCGCGGAATTCTGTGCCAGACCAATGGGCACAAGGGAGGGTGCTACAGTTTCGTCGATCTACCAGCTGGCAAGTAGTGGTGTCTGACGCAAGCGGTCGCGACTATGAACGAAATTCTGTGACAAGTTTAACAGCCGTTTTTCAACTAATTGCCGCAGTTCGGCGACGGGGGGGGGGCATTTTGCACTTTTGCTACTTCCCATCGACGTGTCGACCTATCTAGACAGCCTCTTCTCGAGTTGACAGGTTTTACCATGATGGCTTGACGAGCTTGCTCCAGCTTCACAGAGTTCACAGGTTTCACCAGAGTGAGACTTGTAAACCGAAACTAGTGAAGCAACGAAATTAGAAAATGCCCCCCCCCGTGCCGAACTGCATCCAACTAAGTATTAATATTAGCTGAAATGTACGTTACTGTTTCAAAGCTCCACCACCTTTATTAAATTCAGAATCGATTAGTTGTTAGTCACGATTATTTTTATTTTAGGAATGTTATTACTGAACACACACTACACCACAACCACCAATGAACCAAAACGTTTATTTCCCCACTGATAGTGTAGCTTGTCCAGTGCTGAGCGCTCGTGATCCGCAGTTTCACCATCAAATCCGTCATCTCGTCACCAGCACTAATTGCTTGGTCTCTGTTCTGAAATCAGACTATGAAATCCCTCGCAGGAGCCGTGATGCCCTGAAAGGGAAGAAATGAAGGGGCGGGTAGGTGACCTGATCGGAAAGAGCGAACAGGTCGTCAGAAGGGACTCCGAATTCCTTCTTTGCCATCGAGCTCGCTTCCTGTAGACTGAGGTTATTATCGCCATCGCTATCGTACTTCTGAAGCAGATAATGGTGAATGATCTAAAAGTCTGACTCTCAGCTATGAAATCATACTTTGAGCAACAGCTCGCTCTTCTCTCTCAATGTCGACTTCAGAGTGCTCCTCATCGGAATGCACTCCTCACCATCTAATTCGCTGTTACGGTCGATATCACCAGCAAGGAATAGACGCTCCAATTCTGAAAGTAACTCATCATCATTAAATTCATAACGAGTAGGGTCGCATTTGAGCCGTTTGGAGGGGGAACAGTTCCCTTGCTGACTTATTGACTCTCTGGAAAGAAATTGTATTTATACGAAGGGGGTTTCAGAAAGAAACGGAAGTTTTTACTCCTCTGTCGTCCACTCGGCCAGCCAGTTTGTTCTAGGACTTTTCAGGTGAGAGTGGAGGCAGAGGGACGGGTGAAGTTGGAATCTGGGGTCAATGGGGCTGCACGAGAGAGCGGTAGAGGGAAGGGATGCGACAGCTCCCCTAAAAGTCGCGAAGTCTTCTGTTTGGAAGCCGACTTGAGGGCTAACGATTAACAATGGCTCTTCTGAATAAGAAGCGAAATGGATATTTGACTTTATTCATCTCAGCCTTTATCTCAGAATTTCCTTTCGCTTTTTTTAGCAGTTATGGTGTATAACTCAATATTCTTCTATAGAATATCACAAAGGTAATTTTTCAGGAAAGTTGACAAGTGTGGTAAACGAAGAATTCAGCGCTGATTAAATCTTTCTCGGGATGCGCCACACGTTCTAGTTCTGCTTGAAATCGTAGTGCTCATTTTTAACAATCTCAGCGATACCCTGGTCTACCGAGACAGTGAAAGCCATCTTGGTGAAGGGGCATATGGGCCTAGTATGCTTTCAAAGGTAAAAAAAAATATAGATTATGGTCAAGTGTATAGAATACATGAACCCACTACTTCACTTCTGGTTTCAGAATGTTAGCTAAACTCTGTGCTCTTGCCAAGCTAGTTCTCTAATGCCCGAACATACTCTAACTGCATGCGCTAAAAATCCTACTGAAGAAGGAAAGCAACAATCCTGCGCAAGATAGTTCTCGCATGCCCCAACTCTACTGCATGGTAATAAAAATCCCCTAATGAAAAGGATCCATAAACCGTTCCTGACCTGCTCGGTTGAGATTCATAAGCTTCAGTGCAAATGGAGTGAATTCTCGGAAAGAAATTCCGCCATTCTTGTTCAAATCGTTCTCCTGAATACGTGTTACTCATTTCGCAGATAGTAAAATGTCTCTTTTTTTTGAAAATTCGGAAGCCTTGACCTAAATGCTTCTATCATTAGCTGTTCACCTGTTTCCAAGGATAGCTGCTGTTGTTTTACTTTTGAGTATACTGTTATGGGGAATAAGCCAAATCTCAGGCAGCAATCGCACTATTCTGCATGCTTCCGATGAATGATCATCCAAAAAGCACATGACAGCTCCTTCACCCCGGTCAGCGGGAAGTGCTGCTTTGAGTCCTGCCTGTGGTCTGACGTTTGCCCAAAACTCACTGAGCATTGTATCAATCCTATTAGTGTTATGCGTTCCCTGGTTTTAAGGTCAGTAACAAGGATGCAGTGATTGAAGCAATTTCGCCAATGCGATAGCGTGGAATGTACCTACCCCCAGACAAGATCTCTAGTCATTTCCTGTGGGATAACTACAGTCGCTTGCGCTGCGGACGCTGGTCGCGTCAGGAAGATAGGTTTGGAGCAGGCGCCAATCCATTCTCCAGGAACTGTTGAAGCGAACAAGCGACGACTGTTGGAAAAACGGACTGGCGCCGCGAAAACCAACGCCTCATGACTGCTCCAGTGTCTACTAGCAAAAAGTGGGTGGGGCGCATAGCCCGACGGGGTGGGGTATTTTTGCACTTCCGCCTGATTCTCACTAGTTCTGTTTTACAAGTCTCACTCTGGTGAAGCCTGTGAACTCTTGTGAAGCTGGAGCAAGCTCGTCAAGCCATCACGGTAAAACCTGCCAAGAGGCTGTCTAGATAGGGTCGAAACGTCGATCCTTAAAGTGAATGCCCCCCTTCGCCAAACAGCCGCCCGAAAAGGGGTTCTGTTTATGGGTTCGATTGAAGCCCTGGCACACCAATAATGTAACCTTTTGAAGCAAAACGGAACCCAGTGCTTTTACTAACCTCACAACATATTTGCGTCCACATGTCTCCTTGAACAGAACCTGTAATATAAGAAGTGTCCACAGTTTTATAAATTAATTTTAATTTACAAAAAAAATTACGATTTTTCCCGGCGCTATGTGCTTCAGGAGGGGCCAGCTATCAGCTATGCAGGCCTGTTTCCTGCTAGTTGACGCGAGAAAGTCTCCGTCATAGACTGTCTCGGTGATGAGAGCTTCATACTAGAAAGCATGACAATTAAGTCAAGAAATAAGAAAGTAATGTACAAGTCGACCCGCTAATTTGTAACTGTGGACAAACGGCACCCGGGCGACTCTATCGTCGGCAAGTCAGGCGACGCCGCACACGCCGCGCCGCGTCGCTGCAGCGGCACGGAGCCGCACTCCGCCCACCGGCGCGACGATAGATCACCACACACCTGACAAGAACTCCACCGATCCTTCACCTGGAATCCTAGCTGCCCCTTTGAGATCTACCAAAAGGAATAATGAAAAACTACAATGCATTGAACAAGGTGAGGGTGAGCCACTTCAGAACACTTCATGCTATCTTGGTGAGAGGGTGCAGACGAGCGGGCACAAGGTCGAATAGCGCCTCGTAGAGTAGCCCTTCCCAATGCAATAACGGCATTTTGTTAATGCGCTTGCACGTTTTTTCTTATCTTCTGCTAGCTCACGATGCTAATTACTAAATGTGAATTTTGAACTGATAATAAATAGTATAAGCAAATAATACAGCAAGTATACCAATCAATAAGATGTATGATCGGTATCTGATCGGAAATAACTACCAGTACACTTACGCGGTAGAGGAACGGCAAAGGCTGTTGCCGCCAACGAGAAAAGAACCGTCAGGATCATTGCGAGGTCTCACTTCTTGGACTCTTACCTACAAGTAAAAACTTCTTGAGAGTCTTGAACAGATAGCAAACGCACAACAGATGACATCACGGCATTAACTAGGCGAAGGAAAGGGCATTGTGAAGTCCGTGTGTGCAATGAAGTTTGAACAAAAAGATTGCCGTTTGAAAAACCCGTTTGGAAGTTTGATAATGACTGAACAGCAGCAGCTGATTGCAGTGGGTAGAGTGAAAGGGCGAATTTCTCGTGTTGGATCGCTGAAGGTGGTTGTGTTGTTTGACTTTGAAATTGACCTTGACTTTGCCCTGCACTGTTATACTCAGGTAATTGCTATGAAGGAAAATATGCAAGGGATTCTTTTCAACTCTATTACAACCGATAACTGGTTGGAGGTGTTGTTTTTTACAACATAAGGCATTTTGCGCGACGATTTTTGGAACGATTTTTTTGAAAAAAAACCGGCAGCATCAGATGACGCAGTGGAAAAGAGAAGACATAGAGCCAGTGGCGATTTCTTTCAGTTCAACAATTCTACTGTTCACCCGAGCCTGCAGCAATGAATGACCCTAAATGAGACCCTGTGCCCTCGAAAGTAGGTAACGACTCAAAAGACAACATTTCGCATCGTAAACAATGGGGCAGTGGTCATGACTAATTTTCAAAATCTGACTTGACAGAGAAGGAAAAAGTGTAAAAAACAATCAAAAGCACCCAATCAACCGGTGGGTGGTGCCTCTACGGCTAATGGTGGTTTCGGCTCCTTCAGCCCCTGCGATTGTGAGCTGGGCTAAATGATACTAGGAGGAATAAATTATCCCTGTCAAAGAACGCAAAGTATGTATTCGAATCCATCATTTAATGATATTTATTGATAGAGAGAAAATAATTCGTGGAACCGCTAAATCAATGTCATTAATCATCCCTTACAGCATGGAAAATGTTCTTTTGGAAGCAACAACTATGGGTGTTAACGTTTGAATGTCTCGCTCGCTGAAGGGTTACATTCCCAGTAGAAACAGCAAAAAATAATTAGAGGGAATGTTTATGGGAGGCCGAACCCGTTCGTCTGCCAGGACATCAAAAACTGTCCTGTACCCTGTCAATCTATGGAAATTTCAGAGGAGGGGAGCGAGTCTATAGAGAGTCCATTCCATGCCTGATGTGTGGGCGGAGCCAGACCTACCCTTATGCCTTGCCCCAGTGGCGCACTCTTACTTTCTGGCACGATGAAGAGAAAGAGAAAGGCCATCGAGGAACGGAGACATCTCGTTTCCCTTGAGAACATTTTCACCTTTAATGACGTCTGCCTTTATGATCACAATTAATCGAAATCTTAGAAAAACATACCCTAGGAGACGGTAAGATCCTCTCTGGGGTGTGGAGAGTTATTTTTACAGAGACGGAGCGAAAAGAACTGGACTTTACTCATAGTGAAGAAATGAGAAATGGATAGCACAGAGCAATCCATACCTCTTCTTGACCCTGCATGACAAACTAGCCAAGGACAGAGAAAAGCAGTGAAAGTGTGACATGCCTAGGAGCCCTTTTTAAAGCAATTCCGCATTGAAAGTGTGGGCGGAGTCACCCAGACTACTGCGTTTTCCTCACTGCTTCCCTTTCCTAGTGTGAACCTCCTCCTTGAATCATAGGGAAAGGCTCTTTATGAGAAGCGCACACTTCTCCAGGTGACTTCGACCATATTAGGAAGGAGTATGCTTTTAGAGGCGAATTTCGCGATTGCATGCCCAAGGTTGCTGAGTTCAAAAACGAATACTCAGTCGTTGATACCAATTCACCTACTGGTGAAAACTAGAAAAGAACAATATGGTCTTCCCATTGCCACCTGATTCCGATCAAAAGTGGTCGAGATCTGCTGCAAGATCGGAATGGCAACGATACAATAAAGGGGAGAAGGACCAAGAAATGAAAGCCATCATCGCGACACGGGCAACGGTAGCTGGCATGAGACTTAAAGGCAGTTGGTACGATAAGCGTGCTCTGTCTAAAAACGGTTAGCAGCGGGGTGCCCCTAAAATAGTTCGAAAGTGACGAAAAGCGAATTGAATGGCAAAAAATCTGCAAAGTCTTTTTCTACAGCAAGCATTTCGGACGAGTTGCCGTTGCATCGTGCCAGTTAAGAAAGGTACTGTAGCAGACGGAGCTGCATGCATGTATGACGTGTGTATTCATGCAACATCGCAGCCGCTTCATATCAATCTCTTTGCCTCACCTGGTACTTCTCAAATGATGCGATCTCAAATGAAGCGATACGAGCATTAGCATCGTCGCGACATTTGTGGGCGGGCGAGCACAGTGGGCAGCCGGGTAGGTATGGTCAGCTTGATAGGGGCCATGGAGATACCTCCTGTGGAAAAGGCGCCCCGCAGCGCTCGCTCAGGGTGCCGAATTAAGTCCTGCTAGGCGTATTAATCCTACACGTCTTGGAGATTTATCCTGCCAGCGTTTAAGGACCTGGAGCGAGCGAATAATATGAGCATATGTATACATATGTATATGGGCCTTCTTGCATCAGATATGGACGGAAGAGGCGGATTCCGGAGCAAAAGAAGTGACCGGAGGCGAAGAAGGCCCAACAGCGAGTAAGCCTTACCAAACCTGCCCACGAGAGATCCCGTAGAGGAGCAGGTTGCAAGAAGATCTCCGACATACCAGCAGTAATCCCTTCCACTATTCTAGCTTCAGGCTTTGGTGGAGGATGGGTCTTCTGGAAGGAGGGGCTCACTGCCGTATGAGCCCAACGACGCCACTATAATAGTGATAGTGAAAGCTCTATTTTGGGAGTCTAAGGCGCATTCATCAGCGTACTCGTGAACAGGCCAGCGATAACGCGCGCGGAACTTTCTAGATCAGCTGATTTTCTGGTCATTTTTGCATATTTCAACCATAACTTCTTTTTCAGTAATAGACACCAAGACAAAATTACCAGAGAAATGCTCCAGTAAGAAAGCTCGAAAAGATTTGAGGCATTTGAGGCTAGTATGTGCTCTCGGCCCTCAGCCCGTTCCTTCCTCCTGACTCTAGATGTCATGGCAAAAGAACTCATGGAGGGACCACTGAAAACCATCCTCTACGCTGACGACATCGCCCTGATAGCGGACAGCAGGGAAGAACTCCAGGACAAGGTGCAGCGGTGCAGGATCGTGCTTTATATAGCATAAGCGCGGCCTTCATCTCCATAAAACACGGTGATCCTATCGGTGTGCTACTAGGCGGCGTTCTTAGTTTGCGAATCGAGCGATTCAGTCATGATTGCCGATTCGCGCGACTGAGACGACACCTAATATGACCACCCCTCCACCCTTCAACCCAAAACTTGCAGTTTACCCATCTCATTACCTATAATTCTTACGTCAGGTGGAGGCGGAAGGTGATGAGAATCTCCGATTTCCGTGGGGAAAATAACATCCTCCACATGAACTCTTGGCACCCTTGGAGGGAAACAGGGGCCTGGGAGATCAGAAAGGGGTATGTTGTCCTCAAAAATGTGGCAAGTGCCTCATCAACCGAGCGGGCATCCTTCCGCGCATCCTTCCGTTCTGGAGTTTCAGGGACACTCTACATTATGCAAAAAGTAAGTCTACAACAGATAAGGGAAGGCATTACTACTCAAGTTAGTGTGAACAAAACACCTGCTGATTTTGAACTGTCACGAGGACGAATAGGAGGTCAGAAAGGGGTACTGTTGGCCTCAAAAATGTGGCAAGTGCTCATCAAACATTTAATGGTTTTATTTCGTTACAAAATTAGAGTAGAATTGGAAGTTCCCGTCAGGTAAACACCTTGCTGAGGAACGAAGGCAAGGAAAATCTTGCTGAGGAACGTGGCAAGGAAGAGCGTCTATAGATGTGACAAGGCGGGGGTGGAGTATGCCTGAACGGTGAGTGAAGTGGGCGTTAGATGATATCATAAGTCCGGATCGAAAACTAGCACATAGACAAACGGGCTTCAAGCCGTGGCTAACTGGGTCACTGAACTGTGGCGTCCACTACGGAAGGTTTATTATATAGGTCTACGCAAAAACATCATCGATAAGCAATCAGATTTCATCGGAACCTTGGCCTAATAGCTCTTAGCTGCCTTGTTTACTATCTTTACACAGTTACTGTAATAGGGACAAGCGGACAATGTCGCGACATGGTCTAAAATGCGGACTGCATCTGAATAGAATGATCAGAGGGTCGACCCCTCTTCAAGCAAAAGAAACTTACGAAAGTCGCGAGAAATCCAAGTGTAGGAATATCTTGTCAGATAGTGAGAAAGTGCAATTTAGCGCTACTCAACCCCTTTCTGGGATGCGTTACAGGTTCCACTCTGACCAAAGCCACGGCTGATTTTTGAGTGGCGATGTGTTGCCGTGTAGTGAGTATCGGCCATTTTATTGTTGCGAAGGGGTACTACACTCCTCCATTCATGAACCAAATAACCAACTCAGTAGGAATGGAAATCTTGTTTGGCAGCGCGAAAACGGATCTGGGATTTGACCCCCGAAGCGCTCTGAGCGGGTAGAGAGCGAAACTTATCCATCTCATAGATTAATTAGGCCCAGAAAATACTTTGAACCTTCTGTTTATGCTGCGGAGAAGCTAAGCTGATGCTGTCCGGACTTGAACATGATTGTGACCATGAGATATCACGGAGATCCTTAGCGCGGTGTTCGGGTCTCGGAACTCCATGAAAGAACGCGAGCGCAATCCATCAGCCCACCGTTTACTGCCCAAGCGATAAGTGTCTCAGTCACCGATCACCTGTTCCTGTTGTTCATAGTTCGCCGAGCGCCAGTATCGTTTTCTTTTGCCCCTGCGAATATGACGGAAGTGAGCCGTTCTCCTGACTAGACGTAGGAGATCTTTACACTGAAAGCATTCTTAGAGAGGTATGATGAAGCTCAAACTTCTGAAATGCCTCACCACCACCCTATCCCAACATTTGAAAGCTTGCCTGAACGAATACCGAATAAATACAGGGGGGGGGGGCAAAAA